CAGCATTGTATCATTCCAGATATTCAAAAAAAGAAGTTCTCGTTCTTAGATTTTAAAATGTCACATTTAAAAAATACATTTTTCAAAAATCTTATTTCAAGTACATACTTATTATATAAACCACATAGTCCACCTAACACATTCATAATGGTGAATCCAAAACCCCCTACAAATCTGAGATCCTATATCCATGTATGTTTATTGTTAAACATAAATCTTTATTTTCTTAATAATGATTGTATCAATAAAAGAGATTTTCTTTCACTGATCATAATTTCAAATTGTTTTTGATATCTTAAATTACTTAGAATGAAACTCTTTAGATTGTTTTGTTGGTTTTTTTTTACCTAGTAGTTTGTTTGTTTCTATATCTTGTAGTTTTCCAAATTTCCCACCCCCAACCCTAACCTCTATGTTTTTTAAGTCTAAATATTATTTATCTCTAAGGTGTATTTCTTTTGATTCTAAGGAACACCAAGAACTGATCGATTCCAGTAGCAAAAAAGTCAGGCAAAACACAATAATAATGCCTATAGAATGAATGAAAAATAGAAGAAAAAAACACGAAAGAAAGAGCGTGGAAAATAATGATAGTAACTAATGGATATGAAGAAAAGAAAGGTGAGGGAAGGTAGAAATGAAAGAGGGAAAAGAGAGAGAGAGAGCATCAGAAGATAAATGATTAATAGCTTTATGGATATATATATATGGATATATACATATATAATAGGGTTTTAACTTGAAAAGAATGTTAACCAGGAAAATTTTGGTAGAAAAACGAATTATCTTGACATAAGATCATCGGAAAAGAACGCAATGGGAAGAAATTATAACAGTAAACAAGGGAATGGAAACGCGCCAATCCTATTTAGAATAAGATCGAAATAAATAAATAAATAAATAAGTGGAAGTGTCGATATTTGTTATTGCTCTAGCCTTCTGTCTTTTTGTGACTTTGTTTTTATGTGTTACCTTTGTGACAAATACATGCACATACATATATACACATACATACACACACACACACACAAGGACACTATGTTATTCTGTATCGGTAGGATGGAAAAATTAAGAAAGAAATTTTATGAAACTAATTTCACCATTTTATTCCGTTAGTAGCTAAATTAACGTGACTAGATGAACAAGTTATGAGAACAAGTTATCATATATTAATAATAACTAATATTACTACTACTATTTTCAAGCGGAAATACAACAGATTTGAATAGACATATATAACCTAATGAACGATGAAACAAACAAACAAACAAACAAACAGAATTTAGCAATGTTTACTACATAGGAAGACAGAAAAGAATAAGGGAAACCGAAAGGGAAAAACTTATGTATTATCATGATGAATTTCTTTCTATAACCTACATGTATACGCATACGTATACGTAAATACCTATGCAAAGGCAGAAGCAATAAGGAATGATTTTTTTTGAAAAAAGAAATTATATGATACTAAGAATAACCATCACAGGTGAAAATGAAAGGGGACCATACCGATACACACACACATATATATATATATACACACCTACAGCCATACATGACCAATTCCTGTTTATGTGTATAGAAATTTCATATAAGTTAAACAACATTGTGATAGTCTCTTGTGTAAAATAGTTTAATTTTGACAGATTTGATAAATGGAATTTTAGAATTTAAACTAACAACATCCATAATGGTAGAAGCAACAACGCCAACATATAAATAAGCACATATCCATCTATGGTGTTATTGTTTGAATAGCCAAACATCAATGCCTTATCTTTTTATTTCCCTGTATCTATCTATATATTCGACTATACTGTCTTATATATACACATAGATATGTATGTGTATATACAAACGGTATGAAAATTTCTCTACTTTAAGTCTGATCTTTATTGTTATGACGATGGTATTTTGTGTCTCTGTGTGTGTGTGTGTGAAATAAAGTCACAATCATTAAATATTGACAACAATTTATGGTATCACAAAGTCGAATCTTTAAATATCACACCAGATTATGAAAGAAGATAGAATTCATAAATTCTGTTCAGTAGTTAAATCTTAAGAAAAAAACTTTCATTCGTTTGATAAATCACAACTAGATAGGATTAAGATAACATGACAAAGATTATTCTTTGTCTATAGGTTCCATTTTTCAAACCAATATTTACATAAATTCCTGAATTCCACTGCTAATCACTATCCATCTTTGCTTATAATACTTGTAAGTTAATGTAATATGGAGTAAATCCACACAGGATGCATATATACCGAAAAGAGACTGATCAATTGCAGTCTTAAACATCAATCGGAACATTAAATATAAACAATACAAAATGAATTTAAACTTCACCTCATTGTACAAGCAAGTGGTTATCAGGATTCAGTAACTAAGTGGATAAAACGATGGTGTTTGTAGCGAATGGTACTGGATTCGAGTCCCGAAGTGAATGTCAACTCTGGGATGCAGATACTAACTAGTCACTCAGTGAGTAAATCAGTCGATAACGACTGGTTACAAATATGGTACAGATCCTACAATAGGTCAGTTTGTATTTAGCAATATAAATTAGACCAGAGAATAGTAACTTCATAAACTGATGTCGTACCCTATAGTAAGCAGCTAATCAATATTAGTTGATTGAATAAAATATAACGATCCAGCTTCCTTTAACCTATGGAATGATATTATCTTTAAAATCACTAAAATAAACGAGGATTTTTTTATTCTTTTAAACATAAAGTAAACTTAGATTGATGTCATGAATGGATCTATGTTAGTTTATCATTGAAAACCTGGAAGCATTAGACGGCCGTTTCGTCCTAGTATGGAACTTCTCAATGGTACACATCCACGATGTCACACGAGGAACCCCAACCCAGGACCTTCCGCCTGTAAAACCAGTTATATTAAATCAAGTAAATCACTGTCATTTCATGTGTCAAGTATAATATTGCACAACCGTTGTTAATGTATGAAACATTAAGATGAAGAAATGGTTCTTATTCCCCCTTTAGGACAATCTTAAATCACCTACGAATATACATATTATTATTATTATCAAGTACAAAGATTTTTACCAGTTCTTCAGTTGATGTTTGTGATAACCGACAACTGATCTACAATTAATGATTATATTTTTAGTAACATTTAATTTTTCTTTTCCATCTCCAAGCTAAATCCGTAAAACTATTACTGATAGGATTATAACACTAAGAGTATAAGAGTTGGATCTCAACTTTACTATGGAATGAAATCATATAATTTGACTCTTTTGATAAGATTACAACAGTGAAATAGTTTTACCATTCAAAACTTAGGATAAAAAGGAACTATGAGTACATCTTCCCTCTCAGTTGATTTCATTGCCTAAATAAAAAATGACTTTCAAACAGGACTGAACTATCCATAAACACTTAATTAATTAGTGAATAGATGAACGTTTCTATGGTTAAAGTAATAAGTGATTTGAAAAATCAGAGGAATATAAGTGAATATTTGAATACATATGGAAATAATGAGAAAACCATCTGAATTTTGAACCAATCATGTAATCCGATCATTCTGATTGGTTGACTAGGCTGATCTCAACCAATCAAGTAATAGATGATAGATCGATTCTTATGAAGCATAGGTAAATAGATCATTTAAACAAACTTAAATTTAATCCCGAATAGACTGAGCTCCATAGTGTTTATTCAGTCAGAGTACAATATTTGCAGAACATTTACACAAAACAATAGTTGTACGACTCTTTTTAAGTTTACAGTTCTGACGATAAGGAAAATTTACCTATGCTAATAAGAAATTGTTAGATACTAGTAGAACAGAGATTGATAGTGTAGAGGCGAATTTCCCCTATATCTGACTCCAATAAATAGTATCCCGTAAACTGAGTATTTAATGCAGGCTAAATCTCTAAATGGAATTATGGATTTACTCGAGATTATTCAAAAGCCTGAACATCAGTTATAGAGATAGTTTATAGTCAAAGATTGGTAAAATCCGCAAGCGTACAGGAAGCAAGCATACAAGGAAAATAAGAGTGTGTGAGTGTTAAAAACCCTTATATATTTGTGAGTGTTAATCAAGTATGGATAAATTATTGATTGTCTGTGTATTACAACCAATGGGAGAATAGGTTAAAAATTGACATGTGCTCAATCAGACACAGAAAATTACATGGTGGATCAAGTGTTTAAATTACAGTGAGCAGATAAATAATACAATAGTTGAATGGGCTTACTACAATAGTTCTAAGAAACGTTAGAATCATTTAGTATTTTGGGAAAATTACGTTGTTTGAAACTCCCACTAGTGTTGTGATGTACTTACCAAAGAGTTTATGTAAGTTGAAAAGAATGATACTCTTTCATGTAGAAGTGATACATGCATGTTGTTTTGACCTGGTGATATCACAATGTCATGTCTTCTCACAAACTATATATTTATGTAGATGTAGGAAGTTTCAATTTTGCTTAATTTAAAAAGTATATTAATTGTAATGAAATACGTCGAATCAACACTAAACCTAAAAGTCCTGGGTGCAACACTTGGTGGTGTTTTGGATCCATATTCCTGTGGAGTTCCATACTAAGACGAAACATCTGTCCATAGTTATTGTTTTACAATAATTGTCTAACTAATTTCAGTACATGATATTAAACAACACATTTATGAAGTCCTTACAAATGGAATATGTTTTTAGTAGCAGAATGGGATCATACAGAAAATAATTGGTAATCAGGAAACACTGAATAGTTAGTTCCATGTTCATGTATGTTGACTGATTTTCAAAACTAATTTAAATATTAAGAAAATTCTATTTCCTAGATTCCATTCTGTTTGGGATTATAAATACACACTACTGACGAAATTCAAACAAGGACAAAACGCTTTTCCAATAATTTCTAATGATTTTGATTATACCAGTCTATGACATATATACTCGACAAACAGAAATAATTTTTTATCTTTAAAAACCACAATATATACTTACTCATATAAAGCTGATCTTGCTTTATGAATAGTTGTTTCAGCATTGTTCATACCATGTCCAATATTTACAGCATTATTTAAAGATCCTGAATTGACTCCACCTGGTATACTTGCTGATCCAGTGGAAGCTGTCACTGACGCTGTTGAATTAGACAAATTCGACTGTGACATATTATTGCCAACATGTCTTGAATTAATATCAGAATAGTTTAAATGGGAATGTGTTCCACCAGTAACAGGATTATTTGAAGATAAACGATGGGAATTATTATTATTCATAGTATTGGTGTTATTGTTTATTCCACCGGTTGCGATAGAAATTCCACTATGCATCAAACTATTAGATCCAGCTATTGTTGATGTATTTGGATATGTTGTGGAATAGTATGATTGTATATTATTATTATTGTTACTATTATTTGTATTGGCAGTAGTTAAATCATCTTCAGTAGTTGTTGGACTATTTTTGCGTTTTGTTGTACTATTACTACTGCTAACATTATTATTATTAGTATTGTTGTTATTATTTGTTGTCGTTACTGAACGATTAGGAGAATTTACAATAAGATTAGATGTTGTTGAATCACATGATCTTGACGATAATGAATTAGATGATTCATTTGTCAACAATGCTGGTGTTGTTACTGTTGACTGATCTGTACCAATACATGTTGTATTTAAATTAGACATCGTTACTAAACCGGGATCAATAGATGAAGTGGATAAGGAGGCAGTGGAAATAGACGATGATGTTGAAGATGACAAAGTTGTTGTTGACGACACATTGGCAGGATGATATGGATGATGACTATGAAGGTTTAATGTTGAAGTAGTTGTGATAGAAGTAGGAATAGTATTTATATTAGAATTATTATTATGCTCATCACAAGTGGAATTTATATCAGCTGGTGATGTTTTAGTATTAGTCATATTATTACTATTACTAAGTTGTTTATTACTTGAAGAAGAAGAAGAATATACAGATGTATTTCGATTAGTTGAAATACGAGGCATTGATGTATAAGTATCAGGAGAGTTCTGAAAAAAGAAAACAAATGAAGAAAAACAAGGATCACAAAGTGGAACAGTATGATTAACCAATCAATTACAATTTTAAAATGTTGATAATAAAATAATGCAGAAAACCTCCAATAATATGAATTGTTATTATTATGAAGTTTAGTGTACTTCTATGTCAAGATGGGGTTGTGGAGATTGTTGAGTTTTTTTTATTGAGATCATGAATCTATCAATTTTGGAGCATCATTGAAAACTTGAAAGCACTGGACGGTCTTTTCGTCCTAGTATGGAAATCCTCAATGGTATACACTCATGGTCCCACATGCGGGAGGTTGTGTTCGCATGCGAGGCCAAAGGTTCTGGTTTCGAATCCCGCATTCGGAGTCGTGAAATCATACAAAATCATAAAAATGATTACCATCATTGAAATTATCCCCCACTTATACTTACACAAAATAATATCCTAACCAACTTAGTTGATGTGGATCCTATTAACCAGTTGTTAATTGTCTTGTGTTTTTCTATCCTATGTCGAACTTTAAAATTTCTAAGTTATTGATTGTATTATACGTGAATAATGTTTCCAAGACATTCTCTAATCAAATACTAATAATAGTAATAATCAGTCCAACAGTATATATCTACGTAATGTCTTCAAATTTCGTAAGTTGGAATTTTCATTTATTTTTTTCGTTCACAAATATATACTACTAATAATGTTTCTTTACCAGTTAGTATTAATTTTAATGACGATATAGTGGAAATCTTTTGTTAATCATTGAGTTGATCACATCAACATACGACAATAATAATAATAACAATAACAATGAAAAAAAATGGGGAGAAACTAAATCTGGGAAGATAAATATCATGTACAGTGGTAGGAATAATTTTTCTCTCCTTTAAAAACAATCGATTTCCCTAATTATTTTTTATTCAGTGCTCTAAGAAAAGGAAGCAAATAGAAGGTGGAGAAAAAGAGAGAGAGAGGGGGGAGAGGAAGACTTACAAAAATGCATACAAACACATAACCTCTAAAAGGAAATATATTCTAGGAGGGAGTATGAATAAGAATATTACTACACTGTTGTTATTATTGTTGTAACAGTTGTTATTTGGTTCCGTTTAGATTTCTCTATCCAACCTCATCAAAAAACCAACGCAAATAAACACATACAAAACATGACCATTTATCATATATTCATGTCTATTTTGTATTCAAACATACATCCATCCATAGTTGCGTGTACAACTTCATTTAACTAGTATCCTCTCAAAAACAATATAGAACATATGTAGTTATAGTAATTTATCAAATGTATATAAACATGCATGTATATCATGGTACAACACATATAGGCATATATATATATATATATATATATATATATATATATACGCACCATTATTTGAATGTATATGAAACGGGTTGGTTGATAATTGACCCCGAACTGTCAAAACGTATTAAGTCAAATAAACAAGAAAATAGGCAAAAAATATTTTGAAAAACAAAACAAAATTCTTTCACCATGAGTTCGATTTTCTTTATCCATTTCTTTTAGTGTCTCTTTCTTGCTTTTCTTACTCGATGTAGTTCTTTTTGTTATTTATTCCTTTGTTATGATTACTACTACTAACTAAGTTTTTGATAAGAGAAATAGTATGAATATTATTAATGGTAGTGTATGTTCACTAATATGTTAGTTTCTATGATTTTATTGTAATCTGGTCGATTGACTTAATGGTTACTTCTATAAAAACTGACTTTGTAAATATGATACGAAAGTTTGTATATTCGTATATTTATTGTCTGTCCACTTTTTTTCCTCTTCAAATTATCCGTAACCATGTACGCGTGTATAAAGAAGAGTGTACACGTATACATATATATCAATAATATGCGTATTGCGAATATGTTTGAAAAGCAAATCATAAAAGATGACAGTTCATTATTCGATATATTAGTGTATGTATTCAGTAGCATACATTCACTAAGTCAAGTGCCCACTCACTCACTCACTCACTCTTACATACACACACACACCACATACACACGAGTATAGTTATATCTATCTATCTATGTATATACTGAAGGCGAATTAGCTATCATTCCGAATAGAATTATTTATCCCATTCTCTATTCTACAAAATACCACTGTATACAGTAACATACAAAACACAATTAACTAAGAAAAAGTTCACATATTTTACTTTAAATATTCTTATTATATTATTAGAAACATAAAAGACCAAAACAAAGAATTTTTCAGACATTCGGTGCCTCATCAAAAAGAATTACAAACACTAGATTAATTGAAAAATAAGATAAATCATGCTTAAACTACATTTAAAAAGCAACAACAAGAACACAGAATTGAACAATATGACTAGCCTTATGTTTTTCATTGGTACACACATTAAACTAGATAAACACATTGATAAAATTAGATAGAACTGATAAAATTACAAGAAGATATCTGTCTTAGATTTATCTAAATTAAATTGATGTATACATATTACTTTACAAACCATGTAATAGGCGTGTTTCCATGTGTGCGTTTGTGTGCGTTTGTGTGCATGTGTGTGTGCATGAGGACGTTACCTGAAGACTACGAATAATAATAATAATCATATTGGGTGATTTCGTATTTTGATTGATCAATCGATATTTAACAAATTGGGAAATAATTAGTTAAAACAAGTTAATTGTATAATTGAATTATTATGAATAATTGAACAACAAATATTATTTGATTATTTTCAAGATTTCAATTTTTCACAAAGGGAGTTTTGTGAAGATTGTAGCGATTTGAATAATTGAATTTATGGATCAATTGGAACTAGACTATTATAGAGCCCCTAAATGCCCTGGTATGGTCGAAACGCTCTCAGAGGGCCACGCGTATATAGCCTCTACCAGGGAAGTCCTACTCACTGCCTTCTCGTGGCGGGGGTGTTGTTTACGGAAATGAGAGGACGAAAAAGGAATTTCCGGCGCTTTAACCGGATCCCAAACCAATGGTGCACATGGGCTCCACGATCCTGAGGGAACAAATGGCGTATGAACCAATTTCTTGGTCACCGGCTACTATGAGACTGCATCTCCTCATGATGCTCCACTGCCTTGTGGATCAGACCTTTAGGTCAAAGGCTCCGGGTGTGGTCTCATAAGAAAGACACCTGCTTCGGTCTGGAATCCTGGGCAGTATCACAGCCCTATGTATTTGTTGCCCCCTTGTACCAAATTCTATTTGTTCTAACAGATAAATAAAGACTATTATAGAAATCTTGGATGCACTGGATGGCCGTTTCGTCCTAGTATAAGACACCTCAACAATGCTCATCCACAATCCGGTGAGCGGGATCAGTATAAACTTTGTATATTTTTCTTTTGTAACAGATAATAATTGAACGAAATTGATGGAATAATTTACTTGACAAAAGTTTCGTTTTTCAAATAACATTCATCAGCTGCCTATAATTCTGTTGAGCTATTAATGCATTATTTATTTTATTGTAAAATATCATACGAAAGAGTTAAAAATTATGTAATCAGTTGATGGAATCTTCGCGAGATGTTTTTTACTTCTATGTTGATAAATGTTATAAACATATATCCTACCCATACTCTCTCTCGTTGCTTGATGAATAATGGGACTATGAGCGAACGATGAAGATTAACCTAATCCACTACTCTATCGTAATTCCGGATTAACAATATGTTACTCACTCTGGATACAAGAGCACATACATACCTATGAGATTCAAAGGTCGATTTGATCTATGTATTTCAGGCATACATGTATACTTGAAATAGAACATTCAGTATTGCTAATCATTAACAATAACATATCTAAAATATGGGAATGGAGACCATTTTACTCTATTAACAATGATGTTTATCCTTATGTGTATGCTATGGAGTGCATATATTGATCTATCTAATTATTTTAGGTGTAAATCTACATGTGAAGTAAAGAGAATTCAATCTGTTTGAGTTTTTTAACCTACGGTTTCCAACCGAGAACATATTTCCTGACCCGGATATATGTGTTCCACTCGGGTAAATCATACTATTCAAATAAGCCAATCAGATGCTTCAAAAGGCTTTATCATCCGATATAGCTGAAATGTAGGGGTGTTATCACCTACTACTAACAATTTACTCTTTTGACCTACTTATTAATGTATGTAAGTAATATTGTCTTACAAATATTTTTATTGTTTATACAGGGAGAAAAAAAACAATCTAGTCAAAGACATTCACCACTGAAGAGAGAAGAAACGAAAAAAGAAATCAGAGGGAACTATTCTTTCATGTCATTTTATCATCATCATATATATTATGCTATCCCATTGATTTTCTCTCTCCCATCCATCTTAATTTCTTTTTTCATAAGATGCTAAAATGTTATGTAATCATTATTTTCGCTTTTATTTAAATCACCTTTGTAAAGTGGTCTACAGACGTATTGCATCAATACCATTCTATTTCTTTTTAGAACATTTTTTCTATCTAAGAGAAATACTGGCCATTAAGAAAGAAATGATAAGCGGTAATGAGAAGAGTAAAGATGGTGCCCATTTACAGTGATAATTTTACAATAATTATTTAGAAAACTAAGAATGTATTACTAAGATACTAAATCTTACCCCCCTCTCTATCTTTCTATAATTTTGTTATATATATACATACTTTAGAAAAGAAGGAGTGAGCATATATGTATTCTATTTTGATTCCGTATTCCAAATCATCTGTGTATGTATGTATGTATCTATGTGTGTGTGTGTAAATAATTCATATCAAAATGAAATATGAAATAAGGAAACACTTTTATCAATGTATTATTACTGTTGAACAATGACACAGAATAACAATGCGCGACTACTTTGGATCCAGATGTATTGATTTAAATGTTTCCTCTCATTTCTTGTGTGTGTTTGGATTACATTCAATTAACTTTATTTAAAATTGGTTGGTGCAATGCAATACAATTTACGTATTTCACCCTGTTTAT